AGAAAGAGAGGAAGGAAGAGAGAGAGAAGAAGAAGAATCAAAGAAAATTGAAGGGAAATCAAGCAAATCTTCTCCAAATTAACCATCTAAAGTAAGAATCTTCTTCTAATTTCTTGAAATACGGTTGATACACCCATGATCTCATGGAATTGAAGTTGAATGATGATGTATTGTGTTGTATTTCACCCTAGAAAGCATATATAAGCACACATGGCAAGAATTGAAGGAAATTAACTCTCAAATTCACCATGCATAGCATCTTTTCTTGAATTTCGTGATCATACATTTATTTTCTTGCATGGTTTTCAAAATTGAAGGGGAAATTCATGAGTAATTAAGAATTCATGGAGAGAAATTGGAGTTGAGGTTATATAATCATTAAAAAAAATTGAGAAATTAAATGATTTAATTCTCAAAACTCAACATGCATGGCTTGATCTTGTTTGTATACATGATATTATTGTTTTATACATAATTTATTGCATGAGTCTCATGAATTTCTAAAGTTGCCAAAGGATTTCTTCATGGGTTTTACAATTGAAGCTTCACAACACATGATTTATGTTTTGTAATTTCATTGAAGTTTTAATCTTTCTTCAAATTGGAAGATTTGGGAGGTGATTTCAAGTTTGATCCCTATTTGATGTTGAAGGCCCGAATTCTAGCATGTTTATATGAGTTTTTGGGAGTGAAATGCATGAAAATGAGGTTGAAATTGCAAACTTTGAGCTTCACACATGAAACAGAATTTCGAAAAACAGGGCACAAAATCTGCTGTGATCCACATGTGCAGATCAGGCATCCCACACGTGCGGTTTTGGTCAGGCTCGGGTTTTGTTTTCGCATCATTTTTCTACCTTCCGAGCCATCGTTTGCATAGTTTTAAAGTGTTTTTCTTGTGCATTTGCATCTCACGAGTGCATTGGAATGAATGAATGAAAAGTTAGAACCGAATGAGTGAAGACGAATGGAAATTGAATAAGTAAATAACAGAATCAAGTTCGAACATTTGTATTTTTTTTAGAAGTAGATATTCGAATATTTATAGTTTGTTTGGAAGTTGATATTTGAACGGCACAAATGGTGTGTACTAAGACAAAATGTGGTGTGTAAATAGAATCACCCATAATACCTAGAAGAAGACTACACCAGAAGGACGGATCTTCATTTTTGTAGCCCTAATTGCAAGTTGCGAACTCAAGGTTTTTAGATTTCGGCAATAGCAAGACCAAACCAGGTCTTCTCCTCCTGTCTCAGTCAATCTCTCTCTTGATTATGGTCTTTCTCTTTATTTTATCTCCTTTTCTATTACTTTATGCTTTGATTTAAGGTTTTGTTGAGATTTTTTGCAAAAACTAGTGTGTTCTTTGAAAAGTTAGTTAGTTTTCCAGCAAAACCATAAAGTTTTGGACATTTGAATTTCACCCACAATCCCAGTTTAGACTGAAACGTGTTTCTACCTTGAGAGAATCGCGTTTCTTGCACGTTTCTTTCCTTACGTTTCTTAGGAAGAAACGAGACTCGTATGAGCGATTATTGGAACCAAGTGTGGGATATGTGTCCGACAATCGTAGCCAATTTAGACACTTGAATAATTTAATTTGTGACGATATATGAAGAAGAATAAACTCACATTTGCTAGGAAAACAATATTTTTAGCCTCACATAAATTAGATATAGAAATTTCATATTTTTGTTGAATCCTATTTAATTTCAAGAATATTTCTACATAATTTACAACATCTCATCTCATCTAAGAAAATTATACAATATGCAATATATATATATATATATGTATTTTGTGTATATTACTTATCCATACCTATATCCAAATTTGGATATGTATCCCAATATCCTAAATTTTAATTTATGAAGGTCTGACGTTTGGATACACACCTTCACATGATACTCATACTCGAGTCCATGTAACATAGCTCAAAACAACCACATAGCAAGATATAAACACAATAGCACTGTCTTCGAATGTTTATATTAAAATGCAACATTTCATTTTGCAAAATATTAATTTTCATTACAATAAAATTTTAAAATTTCATTTAACAACATATAGTATAAAAAATACCTTTACAAATTCAAGATCCAAATACAATATAAAAATTTTTAGCAACTAAATTCTTTTACAAGTCTACCACCAAAACCATATGTCACAAAATTGGGAAAGGAGGACAAAAATGTCAGTGCCAAAAAGGCCAACAGCCATGCTTTTCTTCTCCCTTTCCATATATTATTAATAAACTACTTGCATATTTTGTTATTTATCATACACAATGCTATTTCATTAAAAGTGGTCTGGATTGGTTCAAGTTAGGGGTAAACAATTAATTATGGTTCTATGAAATTTGAAACCAAACTAAATCATGAAAATTTTAGAACCAAATCAGTAAACCCTAATTCGATTTGATTTGGAATCACGATTTTTAGAATTCTGTTTAGGTAATTGTTTAGATATAACAACAAACTTTGAAGAATAAAAAGTTGCAACTTATGCATATATATTTGACACTGATATTTGGATGCTTAATAAATTATATATATAGATGCTTAATAAATTATATATATGTATAAATGGTCTAATTATGAAATTATGGACAGAACCATAAAATACGTTTTATTTATTTTAATAATCAAGACTGAACTGTGTATTAAGAAAATCAAACCAAACTATACGGTCTAGATTAGTTTGGTTTGCGACTTTTTCAATTTTTTTCTCAGCCCTATCTATCTATCTATCTATCTATCTATCTATCTATCTATCTATCTATCTATCTATGTATTATATAAGAAAAATGGGGTTTCTAACTCACAAGTCTTGTGGAAGCTCCAATATTCTAATCTTAATTTCCTATTTTTTTGATTTAAAAAAAAAACCTCAGCATTTATTGAGTTCTCCCAACCCACAAGTCTTTTTGACTTCTTCCATACTTACTACCACACCCTTTTCAACTTTTCTCATACGCTATGGTTAGTGATGAGATTGTTAAATTATTTTTATAAAAAAATCTTGAAAAAATACTTTGAATATTAAAAAAATATCTAAAACAAATATAATTTATTTTTTAAAAAATAACAGGTTGCAATTGCAGGAAAAAAAGAGAGAGAGAGAGAGAGAGAGAGAGAAAAAAAATTACATTGTGCATTTCATTCATAATGCTAAAAAAATGTGCTAAGTGTTTGTGTAAAGACTTGACACGTATCCACTCTCAAATTATCAAGTGAATATAGATGAAACCAAAAAACCCAGCTTTAATGAGTAATAAGTATTAGAAGTCCGACCATTGAAGCCTAATAACTATTAATCAATAGAATTCAATAATTGAAAGGTCTCAAACCACATCTCTTTATCTTCTCAAATATTCTTTTTTTTTTTTTTTTGGTTCATGCATTCATTCTATAATTGATAGAGAATTGGATGTGAGGAAGAGTGAGAGACATTAAAATTATATATTGAGTTTTGTAATTTTTGTAATGAAAAATAAAGGTTTTCCCTTCTATGACGATTTATCTAGTTATACCTCCAAATAAAACGTCAGGTGTACTTTTACATCGTTATTGAGCGTTGCTTCCATTTTTTTAGATACTTTGTCTCACAATTATTTATGTTTTGTGTTATGAAATTTATTACATCTGTGTTTGCTAAAGCTATTAAATGGACCTAATGCAAGAAGTACAGACTATTTCAATGTCATTCTCGAGATTATAAGTACAAAAAATATACACGAAAAGTATATGAATAGACAAGATTTTACAAAATTTGTTTGTAAGTCTCACTTCTTGAAAATCATATAATTTGTTTAGTTTTTGTATTATATTTTATGTTTAGTTTCTGTATTTTTTTTGTATATAGTTTTCTTTGTTTTCTTTAAAAGTTTATTTTTAAAAACAAATAAATAAATCATTTTCTATTTCAAACAATTTCATTTTTGTCTTTATTTTTTTATTTTTTCTTAAAGTAGTTTTAGTTTTGGACAATTACTTACTTTTTTTTTTTCTTCTATATATTGTAATTTTGGTCATTTTAAGTATATGGTATTTTCACTAATACATTGGGAGATGCACTATAAAAGAAATATGATGCGGAAATCAAGTAAGAAGAAAAATAAATCAATAAATAATACGATGAATGTGGAGCAAAGATCAAAACTTCCAAAGCAAGCAAGCAAGCAAGCAAACAAATAAGTATAATAGAATATTTAACAATAGACATTTGAAAATTTATAACAAATTTTTATAACTTTCCTTTTTGCTAAGAAAATTCTATTTGGTACTAGCTAAATAAAATGCTTTTAAAATAGTTTTTTTTTTTAATTGAAATTAAAACTATAGTAAATTTATGTAAGCATAATTGGCAACCATATTTTTTTACTTAATGTATAATATTATTTTGACTAACTTTTTCAAGTTTATTTTTTTAAGTCTTTACATAGAAGTAGAAAAATGTCATTACGAATAAATTTTTTCTTAATTTAGTTATAAATTTTGCCCGTACATTATTTTTTAATTTTGAATAAAAGCAAACATAAAATAATTGATAAAGATATGCTGCATTTGTTATATTCCTTTTTTCTATGAGAAAAAAAGGACATTTAAAAATCACAATTGACATATATACAAATAATTATAAACATAATCGGTACATAGCATGGATGGAACACTTGTGTGTAGATTCCACACTCATATAAGAGGTTTGGTAGAATATTTAGGTCCATAACATTTTCCCACTAATTTGACAATAAAAACATAGATAGATATAGTTATTGTGCCACGTACCTTGCATTGGGAGACAGCCAAGATAATGATTGTTGCCTATATCCAACGTTTCCAAGTTTCTCAATGCTACTAATTCTGCAATAAGAATATATATATATATATATATATATATGAGTAAGTATACTATGGGTGATTATTCAATATTACCAGAGTATGAACACGTGGTATTCCATAAGATTTTAATCCGTGGAGAGGCGTAAGGGCCCACAATTTATATTGGAGATAGAGGAACAATATGGGGCTAAGTAATTGGTGATTAGCTTGGAGTATAGTCACGTAGTGTTCCGAAGTATTGAATAATTTCCCGTAAACTATATGTATAATTAAAGAATCTCTATATATATATAGAAATAGAGACAGAATAGAATTGTAGGAGCCCTAGGAAAAGGCATGGAGGGAAAACGTGCCATGTGCAGGGAAGTATCCGCCCAAGGAATTGTAACTAACAATCAAAGTCTTAATTGAAGCGAGAGCAGCCAAATATCGAAATATATTACTGTCATTGAAGAGATTAGAACCAAGATCCAACTTCTCCAGGTTCCTCAAACTTGACAACCCTTCAAATCCTGCAAAAACTACTTCCATTCCATCATAATAAAACATGAATTTTTATATGGGTTGGTGAGCTTATTTTTGAGCTAACTTTGGCAATATGGATTGTCAATTTTTTAAGATTGGTTAAATATAATATTTAAGTGAAAATTTAAATGATGATATAAAATTATAATTGTTTTAATAAAAAAAATAGATGACAATTATAATGTTAAAAGTAGTCATTTATTTTTTATAATACAAATATAATTTATCAGTAGGTTTTTTTTTTTTAATATCAAATCACATTTATATATTCAAATTACATTTATCATTTATTTTATATACAAATGTGATTTAATGGAAGGACTATCGATATCCAGTTAATTTGATTTTTTACAGATATGTTTTACCTGATAAACTTTAAAAAGTTTATAATTTAGATCATTAAAATAGACTCGGATTATTTTGGGTAGTGACTTATAAGCGGGCTTTTTGGCTTATTATAAAAAAAAAAATGTGCAAAAAATAAAAAAGTGATATGACCCAAATAAGTCAGGATAAATTACCAATAGGTTCTACTTTTGGGACTTATTACCCATTAAGTCGTATTGATATCAGCCTCTCTTATTTTTATGAATAAATTTATAAAGATAAATTTATCAATAAGGACCTGTAGATAAATAAATCTAATAATATTCATAAGTTAATTGAGGTGGCATCTCTTCAATGGTGAACTTAAAATATGAGGCTTTTGCCTGATTCAATTTAGAGATTTTTACCCATAAATCCTATTTGATGTACTTGTATTTCATTAGATTTTGTAATTTTTTTCTTAATCAATAAAGTCTCGTCATATAAATTTTATTTTTTTTGGTCAATCAATAGGAAAGTAATTACAAATATACGAAATATTTACATCATCAAGTAGACTACTATCCCATCATAGTGAGAAAATCAACTAATAAACTAAGTCCAAACCCAAACCCAAGCCCAAGCCCAACAACTACTAATCACAAACAATCCCTATAATAGGGAAGAAGTAAATATCATCACAAAGGGTATCAAACTCCTCTCCATAAGAGTTGAATCCAAAATTTCACACCACAAAGGTGCTACAGAACCACAAGACCAAACGCCCTAGTTATCATATAAGTTGTTTACATGATTAAAGGGTGCCTCTATTTACCCCCAAAAGATTGGTCCCTACACTAAAATTTATTCTATTAGTTTGGACATTCCAAATAATACCCATTATATCCCTAAAATCATATAAAATATATTTAGTACACCCCCATGAAGTTAGAAGTTAAAATTTTAAAGATACGAAAACACATAGTCGAATATATATATATATATATATATATATGTTTGAATATTCAATACTTAACAAAATTTAATTTATTTGGAATCAAATTTCCAAACATATGTAATTTGTTTGGAATATGAAGAAGTTAAAAAAATAAATGTTCGAAAATATAAAGTCAAACATAAATAATTTGTTCGGATAATAAATAGTGAACAATGTCAAATAATTTAAAAACACAGTGCTGAATGTATGAAATTTCTTTAAAAATAAGTTTCTGTATAAATTATAATTTGTTTGGTACTGAATTTCCAAACAAATTACGTAAATCCATTGACCAAAAATGATGAAGATTAACAGAAAATATACGCTTTATACAAAATAGCTTGGAAACATTTTTTTCATTGTCTATTGTTAACTTAAATATGAAATAGAATGCAAAAATGATAGATTCAAGAAAAATATGATTGAGTATGAAGATGCAAAATGAATAAAGTGAGAAAAGAAGAGAGAAGAACAAAGGAAATAATGAGATTGATTATGAGATGGAGTGTCCAAAACACTATAATTTGTATTTTTTTTAATATCAAATACCTTTTAGTCATTTTTAATAGTGACGTAATAGTAATAAAAATATTTTATAAAGTAAAGGTGTACAACCAATCTTTTGGTTGCAAATAAAGCCATCCAAAATTAAGTCTTTTTTCAAAATTTTAGATATTTTTACCTTATTTATGTGGAAGAATTAAAATAGTCAATATACTAGGGGTTAGCTCCTCTCCAGTTTGGAAATGAATTGGACAATACTGTTAAGCTGTTGTAGACTCGACTCCGAACCTATCTCGACAATCTAAATCGTTCAATATGTAGAGCTTGTTGAGTACATCATTCTTGTTAAAAATCAACTTGATCAGATATTGATAGCCACTTGATCAACATACATTTATCTCTGCAATTTATTTTTAAAATCATAATTGTCATTGAATCAAATGCAATCTGATCAAATAGCTATCAATATCCGATCAATGTGATTTTTTGCAGGGATGATATACTCAACGGGATCTACATATCGAATGGTTTGAATTATTGAGATGTGCTCGGAATCGGGCCCACCACAGCCTAATAGCACCGTCTGGTCTAATTAAAGACTGGAGAGAAGCGGTGGCCATATATTTATCAAAGCTGCTACAGGGCCTGAAATTGTCAAGCTCGAATTTGCCCAGAATCCAAAATGACGTCGTTTTGGATTTTTTTTTTCCTTTTTTCTTTCTCTCTGTTTTGACAATTGAAGATGAAAAGAGAAGATGAAGCAGAAGCAAAGAAGAAGAAGAAGAAGAAGAAGAAGAAGAAGAAGAAAAAAAGAGAAGAGGAAGAAGAACAAAACATCATCATCATCAACCAAAAAAAAAAAAAAAGATTCAGATCTGAATCTCTAATCACCGCCATCACCGTCGATCTTCCTCCTTCGCCATCGCCATCACCATCACCATCACCATCACCGTCTTCTTCTCTTCCTGTTCTTTCTCCCCATCTTTTCTCCTTCTTCTCTCTTCCTCTTCTCTTCTCTTCTCTTCTCTCCTTTCTCTCTCTCACCTCTGTCTGTCTGTGTTCAAACAAGAAAAGGAAGAAAAAGGAAAAAAAAAACAAGAAAAGGAAAAAAAAGAAAAAAAAGAAAAAAAGAAACCCAAAACGACGTCGTTTTGACTTTTGAGCCAATTCGAGCCAAACGATTTCGGGCCCTCAAACATTTTTCTATATTTATATGGTAACTATTATTTTTTATACTTCAAATTTTAAAATCCTATAACTTTCAATGTACACATTTGTTTTCGATAAAATTTATATTTTTTAAAATTAATCGATGAGATCTATTAAACGAAATCTTAATTGAATATAAAATTATGAAAAATAAAAAATAGATATAAAACTTTACACTTCTGTAAATTTGAAAATGTAACTTTTAAATTTTCAAATTTTTTAGACGTATTTTTAAAATTTCACATAGTTTTTGAATTGAAAATTTTTAAAATTTAAATTTATAATAGTAGAAAATTTCACATATTTGAAATGTAAACAACATAGAAATAAATTTCAAAGTAAATTTTTATAGTAAGACAAGTTTTTTTTTTCTCCTTTTTTTTTAAAGATTTTTTTAAAGTGATTTTCATATTTTTGAAATGTAGAAAGTACGTTTTCATAATTTTTTTATTGAATATTTTTGTAATTTTATAGTATAAAGTATTTGAATGCTCACACTTGTTACAAATAAAAATAATGTGATTTTTTTAAAAAAAAAGTGCAAATATTCACATTTTCAATGAATAAGAAAAATGTGAATGCTTGAAAAATATGAATATATTTTTTTTAAATGTGAATAATTACATCAACTTTTACACTTTCTAAAAAAGCATAATATTTTGTTTATTGAAAGTATGAATATTCACATTACTAATTATTACATCATTTAAAAATTCAAACTAAATAAAAAATAGATTATAATGTAAAAGATAAATTAGATTAGATACCCTAATGAAATATTATAAGGAAAAAAATCAATAAATCCTATTTTACTTTTAAGATTACTATTAAGTGTTTCAATATGGACAACTAAGTCATGTTCGTAATAAATAATTCCCAAAAGATCCATTGCTTTATAATGGTATATTTTATCCCAATTTTACTTTATTTAATATGAATAACAATTTTATAAATAATTTTAACTTAATAAAATTTAAATTTTTAATTGTAAAAATTATTATATTATATTAGAAAAATCACAAATAACAATTTAATTGAATCAAGTATAGTATAACATATTATTCCAAATTATGAATTCTTTTAGCGAAAAAAATCTAAAAGGCTAAATTCTATTAAAATTACAAAGAGCTAAGAAAAATAATACCATGAAAAATTTATATATTTCTCAATCATGAGATAGTTGATGGATCTTATATTTATACTTTTGTTTATGAAAATTTATTTAATTTGAACAATTAAAAATAAATTAAAGTTATTTATGAAAATTTTGGTTCATAGTTCAATGAGAAAGACAAAATTAAAATAAAATATACTATTATGAACAATTAAATTTTTTTTATAACAATTATAATAAAAAAAACTTATTTGTTAATATCGAAATTTGATATAACTCAATACTAATTTTCAAAACAAAATAGAACTTATTGATAATTTTTTTCATTGTGGTTTATGATTTATTTTAGGAAAATTTATTAGAAATTCTCTTTCAAATACTTGTATCCCAATTAGTCCATAATTTATATTCTTATATTCCAATATGTGCTGTTAAATTCTTAAATTTGCATTGTGTACAAAAGTTTCAAAAGATAGAGGTGTACGTTTTTAGACATGGCATAGTATATGCATTCATTTTAGGAGATTGTATAAAATGTATATACTTTGTTAAGATTTTCCTACTGGGCTTTGTGCTTACCCTATGAGATTTTGTGCAGGAATGGCTATGGTGATTCCGCCAAGTTAGAGGCATGGAATATATTTTGGGAGCACAAGGTTCTTTTCTTTTTGCTGTAATATTTTTAACAAGCCAAGGGCTTTACATGTATGGGTTCAAAAAACCATTTTTGTGTAACCGGGCTTAAGCCGTGGAATTTGTAGTCCTTTGGGGCATTAAATTGTACTTGACTTATTGTGACACATGCTATAGATTCATATTTTAGAAATGCTGAATTTATATTCGCATGTGGAATATCTTTTGTAAATCTCTTGATGGTTAATGAACACGTATGTTGGGGACTTGAGAATGATGTCAATATTGAGATTTGGTTTCCGTTTACATTATGCAATGTAAGTTAGTGATGTGGTTTTGTTTGTTATTGAAAGCGTAGTTTCTAACCACGTTTTCTTTAAAAGTGCTGCTATTAGCATCTATCAAAATTTTTTGGACTCCCCATTTTATAAAAATTTTTTATTACAATTATACCCTAAAGTAGAATTACATTAAAAGACATTATTAAATGGAACACCCATCTATCAATAAGAACTAATACTCTATAATATTGGACACCCACCCCCACCTCCAATTCCAACTATACGTATTCCATATTTGTAAACCCTAAACCTATTATTTTTCATAACCAACTAACATAAACCCTAAATCTATGATTTTACATAATCATCTTAAATCTTGAATGTGTCATCTTCATTCCCATCATCAACGCTATTGAACTTGAAAGTTTTGCTTCAAGTATAACATATACTCCATCACCTTATAAGTTTATCTGTCTTGCATTAACATTCTCGGTCGTTTTCGGTCGTTCTTGTTTCGTTCGAGCTGTTCGGCACTAGTTTGCTGACTGTTAGAATTATGTTCGGTAATACAGTACTGAACATTATCCTTTCGTTCAATACATAGGTTCTGAACATTGATGCAGATAGTCAGTTATGTAATTTTCGTTGTTAAACTAACTTAGAATGGAAAATAGTGAATTTGAATGGATTTAAGTTATGTATTTTAAATAGATTTAATTCATGTTATTTTAAGTTGTGAATTGGAATGGATTCAAGTTACACAGTGATGAACAAATTTTGTTCGGACATACAGTGCTGACAGGATCATTATTGTTCGACAAAACAGTTCTGAACAAAATACATTTTTTCGACTACACAGTGGTGAACAAATTGGGTGGGTGTGCTTTTCATTGTGAAAATATAGAAATTAGTTTTCTATTCTGAAAATATTATGGAGATTAGTTTTCCATATATATACATTGTTTTCCAACAAAACAAATGAGACTCATGCTCATATCAAAACACTTCATACTTCCAAATTGATACACATTTTAGTGCTGTATCAATAATCATGTAAAAACACTTCAATATAATAAGCACACATAATAGTGATGCTAATGGATGGAAGTTCATTCAAGAAACCACTATACCTTAACGATCTAGTTGGAAATGGAATAAAAAAAGGAAATTGAACGGAGATGGAAATTGAATAAAAGTAGAAATGGAAACTGCATAAAGTTAAACTTGGAAATTCATTCAAGAAACCACTATACCCTAACGATCTATTTGGAAATTAAATAAAAAAGGAAATTGTGCAGAAAAGAAATTGAATAAAAATGGAAGTGGAATAAAAATCAAAATGGAAGTTGCATTCAAGAAACCACTACAGCTTAATGATCTATTTGGAAATTGTACGCCCTCAAAAATAAACCCATTATATATATATCATTGATGTCACGCCCTCAAAATAAACCCATAATAACCATAACATTAACATGCATTTATAAAAGAAAACGAATCATTTAAGTTATTCATCAGAGTATTCTTATTGAAAGACTTCACATGTAACCTCCTGCAACATCAAAATAAATGCCCTAAGGGCTTACATCTTTCCAAGCTAACACTTGGACACAAAAAGGATGAGTACTAACTCATTTACAAGTTAAGCCCTAGGCTTGAATGTTTACATGAAATCCCAAAAATAACAAAATAAAACATATAACTAAAGACAAGTCTTCAAAATCCCAAACACCATATCCTTCCAGGCTAAGTCCGTGGAGGTAGCTTATCACCTGAACCTAAAAATGATGTTCCCATAAAGGGTGAGCCACAGCCCAGTAGAAAAATACTAAACCAAATATAAGCATTGAATAAAGCTATAGCATTCAATAGATGGTTAACCAAGATAATCAATTGTATCATTATACAATCGCATGATACTAATGTCTAAGACACATTTCACTTTCCATTATTATCAACATGGCTCAGAACCTGGCCAAACTTACAACAGTGAACTATATATCATATTCACATTACTCTCATTATCAACAAAACAAATGAGACTCAGGCTCATATCAAAACACTTCATACTTCCCGTTTGATACACATTGTAGTGCTGTATCAATAACATGTAAAAACACTTCAATATAATAAGCACACATAATAGTAATGCTAATGGAATCCATCCCCTATCTCCTCCCAAACAAAATCCGGTTTAGAGGTCCATCCCCTATCTTCCCCTAAACCGTGGAGTACATCCCATATCTCCTCCCAAACAAAATGCATATGCAATGCTCAATCAATACATGTATTTTCTGTATTAATTCAATAGTCTAAATTTATGACTTAAACAAATTGATTAGTTTCAATTTTCCCTAATCCACATGCAATGTCTACAACAAAAACGACTATCCTCCACCGATAGCCCAAAACAGTTATTTCTAGACTGGAAATAAATATATCAACATTTAAATAGGCGAGTGATTTAAGTTATCCAACTACACCATTTAATCAGTGAATTCCTCAATTTCATGAATTAAACCAAATTCCCCAATTTCCTTAAATTAATTATATAAATTAATTTATTAATACAACTAGAGTTTTTCCCAAAATTATCAAAGTACCCCCAACATATCAAAATACCAAAACTTAGAACAAAATTTATAAGATGGAGTAGGAAATCCCTACCTCGAAGAAAATAACCCGAATGGAGAAGACGAAGATGAATACCCAAATTCCGAAGTGCTCCAAACCACCAAACGTTCAGATTGAATGAAAGCCCTTGACTCACTCTATCTTTTTAATAAAGGACCAAGGTTAGATACTCACCCTAGGTAGATCAATTCTTAGAGAGAAGGCAGGTTTAGAGAGAGAGAGAAAGAGATAGAGACTCTCAAGGGGCGGTTTTCTAAAAGTTAAGAAAGAAAAGTAGGTCAAAAAGTGATCCAAAAAGTGAAATCTCGGACTGATGTAGTCGACTCCCCGCTCGAGCGTGAAAATCCCCGCTCGAGCGTCAGACACAGACTCACGCTCGATCATGAAAAGAGCAGCTCGAGCGTCGATTGCACACTTCCAAAAGTTTTGCAGGCGATGGTACCCGCTCGAGCGCCAAACTCTCCGCTCGTGCGGAGGGACTGCAGAGTAAAGTACTGGGAGATGGAAAAACACGCTCGAGCGTCAAAACTCCCTCTCGAGCGTATAAGCAACAACGAATAGCCCGCTCGAGCGTTAAAACTTCCGCTCGAGCGTGAAGGCCAAAATCTAGGCATCACCTTTTGGTTTCAAAGTGCAACCAACCTGTTCCAAACCTGCCCATCACAACCTAAGACCCTAATACAAAGAGTAAAGGCTAGAAGTGATAATGACACACGAACAAGTCCAGAATACAGTATACAAAGGAAGGAAAAACTGGGGTCGCTATAGTATACATCCAACCAAAACACAAATGCAATATACAACCAAATAGCTAAAGCCGAAATACATTGGACCTATTTCTTGTACACAATGCGCAAAACCCAAAATAAGCTTAAGGCTTAATCATATGTTTATGCATGTCTAATTAATTTTATTTTTCATATATAAATAATATAAACCTTATAATATGAATCATAATAAGTCCGGATAAACTCGGGTGGGCCATGGATCATATTAGCAGAGTTACGTACCTTGATTGTCAATCCAACCACTAAATAAATTATAAGACAAGTTGAGGTTTCGGAGCTCTTCGAAAGGAAGGAAGACAGAGACATTTATGAACCAAATTCTGTTTTGGTGGTATTCTTTGAAATCTACTTCAGATCCGAAAAATCCACTAGATCTGTAAAAATATTCATCGCCTGATATATCTCTTATATTATGCAGAGAGAGCTCAGTCACGTGCCCTGTGGTGGGATCGCATGTGACTCTCTCCCAATCACAGCACTCATTCAGATGATGATCTGCTGGTTTCTCAACCCAGGTAGGGAGGATACGGTCTGCATCAGCACCGTTGGATTTGAGGAAGTCCTTGAATTCCAATAGACCCCTCCTCTCTCCTTCCAAGCAACCACCACTGTGTCCAGTGAAATGAATCAACACTATTAGTACCCACATAATACCAAACGTGCCCAGAAAAACCAAACCCATTTATGCAAAAATTAAAAAAAGGAACTATATGAATGTAACCAACATATAGTTCTTTGTATATATATAACAATCTATGCTGTGTATATGCAAAGCTTGATCTAACATACTTGGATTGGGTTGTACAGGTGGCAAGCATCCCGTGGATCTATGGCTGATAATTATGGTTGGGTGTCCTCCTCAGGACTTTGATTATCCTTGTTGGAAAAATGATTTGAAAACCATTAATAGTTGAATAAGAAATTAATTTTAAAATGTATCATTTGAGAATGGTTTTAAGACAATATTTATTTAATATAAAATTTGATTTTATTTAAATAAATTCATTAATTTTTTGGGTCAAAATTGAATATGATTCGATTTAGAATTCGAATTCTTTTAAAAGAACGATCATGTCTTTTTAGTTATACCTTTTCATGAAAAAGAGATGACTCTTTTGAAAAGTCACCATAACCATTCGAAGAGCCACCAATTCATCTATATAAACAGATAAATAGGTGCCATTGTGTTCATTAAAAAAAAAAAAATCATTTCTTCTGCACTCTATCTTTACTATAAGAGAATTCCACACAGTAAGATTTTCCAGACTTGTCGTGGTAGTGTTGTTTCTGCAAGATTCGATTTTTATATCTTGGAAGACAAATGTCCAATAAAAACTCGTCTCTCCTCATACGAGGCATCCTTATCTACCTCTAGGTCGGTCCAATCCAACATGTGCGATGGATCCAACTCATACTTCCGAAGCATGCTAATATGAAACACATCATGAACCCCGAAAAGGTGTGGCAGCAACCTTTCCTTCTTGCATCAACACACAACCTAGACCTTCTCGCGAGGCATCACAATATACCGAATAGCCTAATTCCCTCGTTGGAATAATCAATACTGGAGCAGTGGTGAGTCTAACCTTAAACTCTTGGAACGACTTCTCACAAGAATCACTCCACACAAACTTGATTCCCTTCCTTGTCAGTCTAGTCAATGGTGAGGCTAATATAGAGAAATCCTTCACGAATCGACGGCAATACCCGGCCAACCCCAAGAAACAAAGGATCTCAAAGGCATTCTTAGGTTGTTCCCAATCTCGCACTACCTCTATCTTGGATGAATCTACAGTCACCCCTTCCTCGGATACCACATGGCCTAAGAACTTAACTTCTTTCAGGCAGAAATCACACTTCCCAAACTTAGCGTACAGTTTATGGGCTCTAAACAACTCAAGCACCACTCGCAAGTGTTCCTCGTGCTCCTCCTCAGAGGGTGAGTAAATCGAAATTTCATCCACAAAGACGACCACAAATGATCTAGGAACTTACGAAAGATCCAGTTTATCAAGTATATAAACACAACAGGTGCATTGGATAGCCCAAAAGGCATCACTAGAAACTCATAATGGCCATACCGTGTACGAAATACCATCTTTGAGATATCCTTCTCTCTTACTCTCAACTGGTGATAACTCAAACTTAGGTCTATCTTAGAGAAACAATAAAACCCATTCAACTGATCAAACAGATCATCTATACGAGGCATTAGGTACTTGTTCTTAATAGTTACCCGGTTCAACTTCCTGTAATCTATACAAAGTCGCAACGCACCATCTTTCTTTTTACAAAAAGAGTCGGTGCTTCCCAAGGTGAAGTATTAGGGCGAATGAAACCCTTATCTAATAATTCCTGAAACCGGTGCCATGCTAGACACTAAATCAATATAGAACTCGATCTCTCGGTGAGGTGGTAAACTAATAAGATCCTCAAGTAAGACATCCGAGTATTCGCAAACTACCCTTGGCAACTCCACTCAGACTTCATCACACTCCCCACTCAAGAAGCTAGCAAGAAGGCCACTAAGTTCACTCTGCCCATGCGGATCATATACCAGTGATAAGACTCTATCCACCCAGTCTCCCAAGAAGTAAAAACAATCACTGCTCTAGGTACATATAGTAACCCTCTAACAGTAGCAATCTATAATAGCCCGATATGACGATAACCAGTCCATCCCAAAATGACATCAAAACTAGACATGTCAAGCAATACAAATGCAAAAGGAAGCCAGCAGCTGGCAACCTCTTTGTCATAACCCCAACATCCCTGTTTCAAGATAACTTCACCACCAATAGGTGACTCTACACAAATAGGAGATGCTAACTGTGCCAACTCTAACCCCAAAATTGATGCAAATGCAAACGAGATAAATGAATGGGATACACCTATATCAATCAACACATTAGCAACTAAATTACAAAACAATAAGGTACCTCTCGCTATCGAGGGTGCTTGTACAAGATCTGGTGTGGTAACAGCATACACGCGCCCTGTAGGCATTTGGTCTACTTGCTCACCTCTCGGAGCATAGGCCTGATGCACTGACTGAGTCGATGAGGCTCCCTGATTAGCCCTCAAGGCCTGTGCTGACTATGCTGACTGGTGGCTCTATGTCTGTCTTGAACCAAACGCACTGGGTGTGCCATTCAACTGTAAGCAAAACTTCTTCATATGCCCCGCCTGTCCACACTGGAAACAAGTGAGTGGTTGGCCTCTCCCTTGACTCTAGCTCGAAGAACAAGCCGAAGACGATGCAGCTTGTTGCTCTCCTCCTCTCTGTGGGTAAGCTGGAGACTTGTGGCCCAATTGACCACATTTGTAACAAGGAATGTCTCATTGACCACCCTTCCCAGAACCCGAACTCGGTACTATAAAAGTGGACCTCGACTGAGCTCCTTGGGACGACTGGGGGTTAGAACCCTTCTGCCTCTTACTGTCTCCCTGACTGTCGTGGCTTTTCCTGGAGCCCCTCATTCTCTCCACCTCCATCTGCATGATAGTCTCAAGATGGGATGCCGCCTCCACAAGGCACCCATAATCTCTAATCATGGACCCGCCACTCGAAACATGAGTCTGGTCCTCAACTTCTTCTCGAACTCCAGACAACGACGCTCCTCAGTCACCACAAGCTCAGGTACAAACCTAGACAAACTAGTAAAGGTAGCCTCAACCCCGTCACTGGTGTGTTCAATTGCACCAACCTAGAGAACTGGTCTCTCAACTTCTTCCTAATTGTAGAAGGCAAAAACTTATCCTGAAATGAGTTGACGAATGCCTCCCAAGTCACCCCAATGTGCCCATGCGCATACTTCCACCACTGACCTACATCCCCCTTTAGTTGGAAAGATGCCAAGGTCAACCTCAGCTGGTCGTCCTCGTTGCCTAGCGTCTCGAACGTCTTTACTATTTATTCTAGCCACTCATCTGCCTTCAGTGGCTCTTTAGGATCACCCAAAAACTCATCCGGATTCGACCAAAAAAACTTTTTTCAAGAAAGATGGCCCTGCCTCAGCTACTTGGGCCTAGACTTGATTCTCAGCTCTGAGAATGTCCATAGATTCCTGTAATTCTCCGGCCATTTCGTGGGCTAAGCTACCCATGTCTTGTTAACCAACTGGCTCAGCCCCATTGGCCTGACCAACCCTTTCCTCCTGTGTTGGAATATCGTCTGGTAGAGGCACCTCATGCCTTCTAGGCCTCTCACGCCTACCACCACCACATACTGATATCCTAATGAAGGTAATATAAGAGATTAGCACATTCACAAATGTGCCGAAGCTAACTCACTCGCGTCCTAATACAGTAGACAACAATAATTCACTCCATATAAGCAAGTAGTCACATAAACACATACAAATTTTCTCCCAAGATATTGACCGTCCCGCAGCATTGCCAGAGTTCCAATTAGAAATAGCAGTGACCAAGTACTCTTCTAATAGGACTTCTAGAAAGCCGTAGACCCAATCAATATCTTAGGAACTAAATCTCATACCCATATAATCACATATGCATACAACACATACTAACGTCTCAACTAAGCGAGACAAACCCATTGTGGTAATAACCACTTCCCACGTATCCAAAGTATTCAAACCCGGTACGCTATAATACCAAGTTGTAATGCCCCAAAAATAAATACAACAAACTCATCTCATAAGCGAAAATGTAATTGAATTAATTTACTTTCATTCATCAAAGTTTGATATACAAAAGGTGACACATGCGATATACATTCATAAATAGTCTATCCTGAATCTACAGCGTGTGTTTAAGTAGACAAAAGATGAAAGTTGAACATATATTTAAACACCCTAAAGGCTTACACCTTTCCAAGTCATTACATGGTTACAACAAAAGTGAGACTAGCTCAATACAAATAAAGCCCTTGGCTATACAAAAGGAAATACAACAAAAAAGGAAGCTCTTGGGGGAAAGAAACAAAATTGTCTGCTAATCATGATTTATGACATGTTATCCATAGAAACTTGATCAAGAAGTATTCAAATTTTAATTTGGATGTACAAGTACTTTTTCTTAAATGCATTGTACAAATATTTTTTCTTGAATGCATTTTAAAGATTTATACAATTAAATGAGATTTTTGAATTGTTTGATCATTGGGCAAAAAGATATGATTTTGTCAAAGAATTAATTGTGACTTGTGGTAGTCAATGTCATAATTACTCTGGAATTCATACATTATCTTCAAAAGTTGGTTATTCAAGCACACCATAGTGGAAGTGGAGATGATGATGCACGGGTTGCGCAACAGTGGCTGTTGTGCGGCAAAATGGGCCCATTTGGGGGCCCATTTTAATAATCCGAACCGTTCACATTTTAGAATACATTGAGTAGAACATGCCTGCAAAAAATCAAGTTAATCGGATATCGTTTACCTATTCATCCACTCACATTTGTGTTCATTTTAATACTTTGAATTACAATTATTATTTATTTTTGTAGATACAAATGTGAGTGATGAATGAGTAAACGATATCTGATTAACTTGATTTTTTGCAGGCATATTCTACTTGATGTATTGTAAAATAGGATCAGTTCGGATTATCAAAATGGGCGCATTTTGCAGGAAAGTAGCCGCGGTTGCGCAGCCTGCATAGCAACACCCCCACTTCCACTATGGTGTGCTTGAATAACCAACTTTTGAAGAGAATTTATGAATTCCAGAGTAATTATGACATTGACTACCACAATTCACAATTAATGCTTTGACAAAATCATACCCTTTTGCCCAATAATCAAACAATTCAAAAATCTCATTTAATTGTATAAATCTTTAAAATGCATTCAAGAAAAAATGCTTGTACAATGCATTTAAGAAAAAGTACATGTACATCCAAATTAAAATTTAAACTCTTAAATTTGAATACTTCTTGTTCGAGTTTCTATGGATAACA